GGGGTCCCCTACGTGTTGTGGGAAATGTTTCCCCATATTGCCTAGCAGATTACTTTCAGGGACTAGGCAAAGGTATATTAGTCACAAGAGAAAGACAATCAGCTGCTTCTACAATGGCAAGGCCACTGTTAAATGCCTTAAACAATGCTGAAATAAGGAATAATATTTTACTGAATGAAAATGATCTTTTAAAAGATTGTATTGATAAGTTAGAACAGGAACTTGGCATATTAACAGGAAGAAAACCAATTCTACAAAAACCAATTTTACATCTTCCAATAGGTCAAGTTCGTAACATTTCAATAAACAATGACCAGGCTCCTGAATCAACGGACTGTGCTGATCAGGAAAATAATCTAAATCAGATCTTGAATCTCCAGTTTTGATGGATGCACTAGAAGTCCATCCTGTTATAACTCAAAAAACAAACAAGGTACAGGACAGACCAGCAGGGATGCTGCCTGATCAGTGGCCCCCCGTTCAAACCCCCTTGCACGTAACGGCCCGACCGTACACGGCAACAGAACTGATGGACTTAGTCCAACAATTCAGGCAGAAACCTAGAGAAAGTGTGCCAGCTTGGTTATTAAGACTGTGGGATTCTGGGGCAGAAAGTGTTCTGGTGAATGGCCCGGAAATAGCCAAATAGGCCACAATGACCATCCATCCTGCTCTTAGACAGGTTATATGCACATAATCAATATAATGATGAAAACCATTCTATAATAGAATGGTTAATGGCGGCCTCCCATATGGTATGGCCCAATAAATCTGATATTCCTTTACATACAGGGATGTGGTCCTCCATGGAGGACCTTCAAAATTACATCCATGAGCTAGGTGTAAGGGAAGCGACTTACGAAGATACCTTTGACCCAGATCTGGTCCAATTCTCAGCAGGGATGAGAGATCTAATTTTACAACAAGCTCCCTCCCATCTATATGGTACTCTGGTCTCTATATTAAATCCCCTAGTGGCCTCAGAAGCAGTTGTCCAGCAGGCTGTGCAGTTAGTGGCTGACCTAGGAGAAACAGAATGCCTGCGGAATAGGCGCAACATTCGGGCACTAGAAGAAGCCGAGGTCTTGCTAGTGACTAAAACCAAAATGCTGGCTACTTGAGCTCCTCAATCGGGACCCGTAAGGGTCTCCCGAAAACAAATGTTTAATGATTTAATTTGGGCTGGGGTCCAATTTGCTAAGATTGACGGCCAGCCCAACCATATCCTTCTCCAACTGTGGAAACAACTAAAGGACAACCAAAAGTTTCAGACCTACCCTAAGAAACCAAGGGTAAGGGTTATAGAGAGAATGCCAACAATGACATGGAACTTAGAGGATGTCATTTTTACTAAGAGGGGAAAAAAAAAAGCTGCCTCAGGTGTCTTGGGCTACAATGCCTGAGCCACCAGAAGCAAAAGAATTGGACATA